TGCAAATGAAAGATAATTGAATGCACATTTTCTTTCAAGCTGTCGTGGTCATTTTTAAAACCCCAAATTTTATGCATTTTGAAGGAGACCCTGGGACCAGAGTCTATCACTAGATGTGGCATTTTCAGCTCTTATGTGGTAAAAAATAGACCAGAGCTTGGGCTCTGGAAATCTCTTACAGTAAAATAGTAAGTTGAAAGGATGCCTTTGATATGTTCTTTTTTCCTCTTAATTCAGAGGTGGTATTTATCATATTGTAATGGGAGCTGCTTGTTGTCTAGCACAGTTTTCAAAATTGTATTCTACAGTCTTTCCTTTCACTGTTCAGATTTGTTGTAAGGTTATACTGAGTTAGCTGAGTTTTCTGTTTTGTTTTTTCGGTTTCATCAGGAATTCAGAGTAATAATTTATGTGTGGGCTTAGCACAGGGGACTAAGCCATGCCCAGGAGACAGCTGACGACCAGTAACTGGTGCGTGCTCAGCTTTCACACATAACAATTGTTTCCACCGAAATAGTCAGAGGAAACGGATTTGGTCGTGACGCCATATTGAGCCAAGAGCATTTTTTCTATGGAAGGTGATGGTATTGAGAGAATTTTAGGAATCAGAAGAATAGGGGCTGTAATCCCACAGCACCGCCCCCTGCCAGTGCAGCAGGGAATCTTCCTGTAAAATTTATTGGGGGGGCTTTGAGTGAGCAGGTGTGGGGTTTCTGCTCTGGGCCCAGAGTCCTGGCTGTCTTTGGCCTTACTTGGTGTCTTGAGAAGCTACAGAAGACCCCAGGGGTAGGTGCAGAGCTCCTGTGGAGGAAAGTTTGGGAAGATGGCAGGAAGGGAGCCTGAGGATTGTATAACTTCTTGAGTGGCTGCAGGAACCCTTCACTAGGGGGGCTAGAAAAGGAGAAAGGGAGCTCTGGACAACTGAGGCTCTAGGTTGGACCACAGAGCCAGAAAGAGCCAGTGGGCTGGTAATCTTTGTCCTCTTGGGGTGGTGCCCAACGTAAGTGAGGCAGATGTTCCAGGCCGGAAAACCTAGGGCAAGGCAGGACATAACAGCTGAGTCAGCCCCAAGGAAAGCTCGCATGGCAGGGGAGGCATGAGTGTGGCCACAAGTGCCCAACAGGGTGGGGTGGGCCCATGATGAGGTAAGGGGCCAGCAGCCAGGATTCAGGAGAGGAACCACAGCACAGCACAGCACAGCAGAAGCAGCACTCAGAGGAAAGGGCGAATCCTTGTGTTCAGATACTGACATAGGTATCTGCGTGGTTCCTCCAGAGCGTGGGAGTCAGCTGCAGCCCATACAGACTCTGTGCTGGGTACTTTGCCTATTGCGATACTTGCTCCCACTGCCACCTGCTATTTCATGTTTTTATCCTCAATCTGATATAAAAATCAGGATCCTGCCACTCAGAGAAGGAAGTCAGTCAGTTGTCATGTGGACATGCAGAAATAAGTGGCAGAGAGAGCTGGAAGTTGAACACAGATCTGCTGGTCTCCAGGGCCTCATCCTTCCCCACACGTCACAGTTCCTTGCATTCTCCTCCGCTGCAGAAATGTCTTGAGTGAAGAAATAGCCAGAGTAGCAGAAGCCTGGTCTGGCTCCCACGTGGACACGCGCACACATGCACACACCTGCCCTTGAAGTCCTGGTTCCAGCTACAAACAGATATCTTTAGATTCATGTGAATTTTGGATTCTCTCGTCGTTATTTAGCAATTTTTAAAAGCTAAGAAGAAAGCATGACCTTCATTTCTGAGTTTTCCAGTGGAACGGTCTCCAGGGAAGACATGTGTCTGAGGGACTGGTGATCGCACCAGCCTGGGCTCTAGCACTGGTAGAAGGTATGGGGGCTCCGGCCAAGCTGCAGGCTGTCACAATAGAAACCCAGAGAATACCAAGTAGGAATGATGGATCTGTCCAAGGAAAAGCCACCAAAAGGCAGAGATATCCAGGGTCCAAAGACTAGGAGCACTAAGGCAGTTACATGATCCCAGCCATCTGGTTAACCCAACATATTTAAATCTGAAACTAAATATAGCCCCTTTCCCAAAAAACCCTCAGCATATTAAAGAATGTAGATAAGATGGAGAGTTGCATGTGGTGCCTGCAGATGAGAATATGGAGATCCAGTTCTGCTTTAGAATTTCTGGTGAAGACCCAAAGTGTGTCTTCCTCATTATATCAGTCAGCTTGTGCTTGGTGTCAAGCTCCCAAAGTTTACTGGCTTAAACCAGCAACCATTGTATTTGCTCCTGATTCTGCGGCTTGGCTGTGCCATTCTTTCAGCGTGGGCAGACTCTGCTGATTATGGTCTCTTGGTGGCCTGGCTAGAGCCAAGTGGTCTAGAATGGCCTTGGGTGTGTGGCAGATTGGTGTCTGAAAGGACTCCTTGTGCTGGTTCCAGGGGGTCTCTCTTCCTCCAGCACAGTAGCCTGGGATCTTCACATGGTGGTCTCAGTGTTGCAAGAGTAGCAGAGGAAAACCAAACAAAGCCTGGTGCATAAGTACTTTTCAAACCTCTGCCTGTTACACATTTGCTATTGTCCTGTTGACCAAAACAAATCCCTTGGCCAAGCTGAGAGTCATGATGGGAAGAGATTACATAAGGCCATGAATATAGAAAGGCATGAACAAACTGGGAGCCCTAATTGCAACAAATCTGCCTTATCCTAAGCTGGAGATTTAACTTAGCGAGTAACCATTGTTTCTACTGAATGCCCACCTGAAGACAGCTCTGCACCATACTTTGGTTAATACCAATATGAAAAGGCAATATCATGGCCAGGTGTGATGGCTCCCAATCTATAATCCTAGCACTCTGGGAGGCAGAGGGGGGTGGATCGCTTGAGCTCCAGAGTTCAGGACCAGCCTAAGTAAGAGTGAAACCCTGTCTCTACTAAAAAACTAGCCAGCCATCATGACAGGTACTGGTAGTTCAAGCTACTCGGAGGCTGAGACAGGAGGATCA